CGCCCAGCCCCTGGTCTACTCTCTGGGACTCACATCAGTGACTTTTACTTTCACACTGATTTTCTGGACCATACTTCTTAAAATTATTTTTTTAAAGAAACGAGGTCGTGCTATGTTGCCCAGCCATGTTTTGAATTCCTGAGCTCAAGTGATCCTCTCCCAGCTTGGCCTCCCAAAGTGCTGGGATTACAGGCATGAGTTACTGCGCCCAGCATGGACCACACATTTGAGAAGTGATGCCATCTTAGTTTAGACAGTTTAGTGTTCTGTTTGAAGTAGGGTCCTTTGGAGTAGAATTTGCCTCACTGAATTCAGAACAATTTTATGAAGTCTATCTGGTGCTAGGTAGTGTCTTAAGCATCACTTGGCTTTTGTTTGTCTGAGTTAGTTTATTTTCTGAGTTGGAGTCTCATTGTTGTCCAGGCTGGAGGGCAGTGGCATGCTCATGGCCACCACACCCTCGACCTGCTGGGCTCCGGCGATCCTTCTGCCTCAGCCTTCCAAGTAGCTGGAACTACAGGACGCCCATCTAATTTTTTGATTTATTGTAGAGATGAGGTCTCGCCAAGTTGCCCAGGCTAGTGTTGAACCCTTGGGCTCAGGCAATCGTCTCACCTCAGCCTCCCAAAGTGCTGGGATTATAGGCATGAGCCACCATGCCCGGTCATCACTTGGCTTTTGGAGCTTTTTAGCACCATGCACACTGGGGGGTCCTATTAACATTTGTGGCTCTAGATATCTGATGGTGAATACACAAGAAACTATGGTACACATACACCCAAGGAAAGCAACTGTAAGTAACTGTAAGTATGGCTAATAGATTTACCTCAAAAATTTCTCCAGGAAAGTCTTCATAGTTTTGCTATGCACAGAAATTGCAAACAATCTTAACTATACTCATGTGCTTGATGGTGGAGGTGATGTTTTGTCTCTCAAGAATAAAATAAAAAGGGAAGCTATAACAGGGCTATGTGTGCCTGTCTGTGTGTCCTGTGTGTGTTCCAAGACCTTTAAATACTGCAGCTATGTCATCTTTTGGCACCAGATTCTATTAACATTTACCTTAGGAATAATTCATTGAAGTCATGGCTCCTACTTGTGGGTCATGGATTTGAATCTGGCCTAACACATTAAAGCATTGAACTATGTTAGGATCTCTGTTCTGTTCTTTTTCTCTAGATATTTAAAAAAGAGACATTTCTCAGTATTGTCTCTAATTGCTCCTGAGAACCGTAGGCTTACTGTGTGAGATAAAGCGTGAATCACACTTTTGAAGCAATTTGTTCTGTATCCACCAAAAGAAAAACATCCTCTTTATGTTTTAAGGTGGTCAAAGAGGCCAAACTTACTGCTCTAACTGGGTGTTTAGGAAGAATTGCTGTGGGATTTTTCCAGCAAGATTTGTGAAATAGTTAATGTATTCACTAAGCAATGTTTTCCCTGTGGTTGTGATTTTTTACTTACTCTTCGGCAGTGAAGCCTTGGGGCTTATGCATTCTAAATAATGCAACTTGCCTTGCCTTTTATGGCAGGTGAGCAGTTTTTCATACAAGTGCCTTAAGATATAAGATTTTACAAAGTTTGCTTAATCCACATTTTCACTCATTTGTCTTATCTTATTTCTTTAAATTTGTGGGCTTTAGACAGACAGCACCATGAGAAGTGAGGGGGTAAGCTTTGTTTGAGTTTTATTTGAACAGAAAGATTTAGGAGAAAGAAGGTTGGTAACAACCTTTGGTAAGACAAATGACATCTAAAAACCCAGCATACATTTGTTTATGCATTAATTGCTTTTAATATCTACGTCAAGACAATACAAGATGAGCTAATAAAAGTGCATCTTGTTTTCTTAAATCTGAGTTGAACATGTAACAAGGATATGTTCAAGGAAGAGGAGTCAGAAAAGGCCAGAAACACAAGCAAGCCAGATGGGCTGGATTCAGATTTCATCTCAGTGTGATCTTGGGCAAATCAATCTCTGTGCCTCCGTTTCCTCATCTGTAAAATGAGGCTTATCATGCCAATAATAATCCTTACAGTGTTGTCTTGAAGATCAAATGACTTAATAAAGCTTATCGTTTATAATTCACTCTTCAATACATTTAAGCTATTATGGCTTTATTACTGTGCCTTAAATGCAGCTATTTGTTTGCTTTCATCTTTATTGCACACAGAATTCTTGGACACAAATATTTATTAATTCAGTTTGTAGATCATAAGAAAGGCAGAAGAATGTATTGTTTAAATTTGGAATCCTGTTGAGACATATTTTGCTGCTGGGTACTCTTAGCAGACATGGTTTGAACGGCGGCCAA